TGAGGTTCAGGGTTGATGCCAAGAAGATGCAGCTGTCGAAAGATTCTCTCCGTCCTTGAGACCGGCATACCCTGCCCCTGATGGAAGAGGTGGTGCCAAACCTGAGCTTGGTCAAATGATTCCGGGAGTCTGGACCAAGGGCTTCGACAAATGTCCTCCACCCTATTTACGGTCCCAACGAAACCTAGAAGATGGTCTGGTGCTACTACCACCCAGTAGAGACGAAGCCAGTCTACACTGCCTGTCCGATCAAATGTATCCTCCGTGTTTTTTCCACTCGACGCTGCTGTACTGTACATGTTTCTGACGCTTCTCCGACGAAAGTCTAATCTCAACTAGAATAGAAAGTGCGGACATACTACATTATCCTCGTAAATCGCGGAGAACCAGTTCCGAAACCTTACAAACGTCGAGGACCTGGCCTCCAAAACCTAAGCTAACCAAGTCCCATGAGCGCGAATCACTAACAAGCAGCACGTGCAACTTCTGGCAACAAAGAGGGTTGCCTTTCAACTTCTGTTGGCAACTAGCTTGAAAGCCTAGACACTCTCGTGCAAGGGTCTAGGTGTTATTAGATATCAGCAGCCTAGTGGCAAAAGGCCGCAATGCCACAGGGCCCAGGCTGTGTTCTAAGCCTGGAGGCTCGCAGTGCGGTCTCTTTCCAGCAGGGGTTCTGAAGTCGGAGTCCGGACACTGGAAAAAACTTTACACCTCACTTCACCAAAGGCTTTTGGCGGTAATTCCCCTCCCTCTCATGGCTGATCACTTCCGTTGGTGTACTCTGACTTCCTTGTCCTACCAAAAAAACAAAGGTTATCCTGGAGTGGATCGTCACATTGCACACGGACGGAAGCCCCAAATCTATGTTCCAGAGAACCCACAAAGCCAAGCCGGGCATTTGACGCTGTCCAGCTCCAAGCAACTGAAGTTGCCTGGCTTCACCCCGGTGGCCCGAGCGAGGCCAGCAACCGGAGCGCAAAGCTTCAACAGGTTGTTGACATTTTGGGCCGCTTTCCTGCCAGGAGTGTGTCCAAAAACAGACGGTGTCAATGAATTACAAGATTAGGGATTCAACTGCCAGGAATTGCATGTCGTGGTGGCGAGTCTGCCAGCGGACCATCTAATCAGAACTTTAACCGTCGGCTTTGCAAGCAACATGTCAGAGATCGAGTTCGCAGAAACGTTTCCGACACACATACATGCGTACTTCCTAAGATTCGATTAGTGCGTAGTGCAGCTCATTCATCCACTGGTACTCCCCTGATGCGGTAGCGGTATAAGCCTCCCAGTGCGGATCCTTGAAGCAGAAATGCCATTTTGGACAGGTGCCTCTGAAAATCTCCATGGCTATGATGGTTCATCCCAAACCCAAGCACCTACACATGTTCTTGGATTGAATGCCTTGGGAAGGGGGTCGGCTTCTATGCTGTATGCCTTTGTGCTATGCTGGTCTCCAAGCTCTGCGGCAGGGTGGAACACGACCTCAGAAAGCCTCCGAGACATGAGTTTAGATTTCGGACACAAGTATTCAGATCCCCGATTCTTGGGTCCGCAAGAAGTTGAAGAGCCAACGCAGCACCAAACCCGGAAGCACAAAACCGACCAAAGAAACCCGGAAACATCATCATCAGCCACATCCCACGTGTTAACGAGGAAGAACAGCAAACACCAACTCCAACAAAACGCAACTTTCACTCAGTTTTCCCCTCTCATTCAGGGGAGTAGACTCCGGTTCACACGCGGTCCAAGGCACCCTTGCAAGTCCACCACCGCCTCAGGGTCAAGGTAGTCGTCGCAGGCCTAGCCGCAGGGCCAGGGCCAGGGGAGTTTTGCAAGGTGTTTCCATTCAGTTGGATTTCGTCGGCGATGGTAGTTTCCATAAAGCACCTTGGTGGCACCTTTTTTCGAAATTATCGTATGCCGCTAGTGAGCAGCACATGTGGGATATGAAATGGGGCATCTTTAGCAAAACTACTAAGCCTTCACAGAGTGGTTGCAGGCTTTATGCACATGTTACTCTTTCTGCTGCTCCAGTGAAGTGCCGATCATGTGCTCGATAACCATTGGGTCCGAAGGCAGCTACCTCCCTACGCCCGTATCGGGGAAGCTGCCAAGGAGTCTACTGTAGGGGCCTGCATAATTAGAATAGGGCCCACGATACCAGAAATATAATAAGCCCCCCCCCCTCCAAAAAAAAAAAGAAGGTATTTGTAAATCTTTAGGCGCTATATTCACGGACATCTGCCGGTCAGAGAAGCTAGTCGACCGAGCAAGGTGGCACTTTGGCCAATCTCAAAAGTTACCTACAATGGAATCAAGACTAGCAATCATAGCGTCAGCTTCACGAAGCCACAAGCTACAAGTGTCAGCAGGCAAAAGCTGGGGCTTTCTGCAAGTGCGCAAGATTTTGTTGCGCTGACGAATGAAGTTGATGCCCCCTAAATGAACAGAGTGTACCTCTGGTGGGCGGTCCTCTGGCCGATAGCAGGCGGCTCGGCACATTGCATTCGCCAGAAAGCACATGCTTTCATCTTCCGTCGTCATCTCAAAGCTCCTGTTTTGGGGTTTAGGGTTGCTTTTCAAGTTGAGACTTGAAGCTAACGCCTAACGCCTTCCAGGAGATTAGCGGTCTAGCTTTCATATGTTTTGATAGTCGGACCGTCTTTAATCGTTCTTCGACAGAACTCGAACAATCTGCAGCAGACGACACGGCCCACATGTCCCAACAACAAACGGAACAACGGACAGCGAGTATGACCCCAGGCCAGACGTTAATTGTTTTGTTCATACACTTGTCAGTAAGGTAAGGTTCACAGTCAAGGAAAACACCTGAAACCATTGCTAACAGTGACGGACAGTCCGCTGAAGCACGGCCGAAAGCCTGGTGCAAGCCGGTGTACCCTGACTTCAGAACTGTAAGCTCTAGACGGGCTGCTACGATTACTTAGGCCAAGCCAGCTTGCACGATGAAAGGAGGATGGCGTTGTGCTCGCAAAATCACTGCAAAAGCTTTTGCTTCTAAATGCAGCTTCTAGCTCTGCGGTACTACTACCACTACTAGCTAGTACGACGACGACCACTGAGACTACTCCTACCGCTACTGCTACTGCTACTGCTACTACTACTACACTACTACGACTACGACGACGACGACTACTACTACTAGTAGTAGTAGTAGTACTACTACTACTACTACTACTACTACTACTACTACTACTACTACTTTACTACTACTACTACTACTACTACTACTACTACTACTACTACTACTACTACTACTACTACTACTACTACTACTGCTACTGCTACTACTACTACTACTACTACTACTACTACTACTACTACTAGTAGTACTGATGACGAGTCGACTTGTGCCTGCAACAACAACAACACCAACTACAACTACTACTACTACTACTACTACTACTACTACTACTACTACTACTACTATTCTACTCCTGCTACTGCTACTGCCACTGCCGCTGCCACTACGACGACGACGACTACTACTACTACGACTACTCCTACTACTACTACTACTGCTGCTGCTACTACTACTACTACTACTCCTGCTGCTAGGACTACCACTTCCACTACCACGACGACTACTACTACTACTACTATTACTACTACTACTACTACTCTACTACTACTACTACTACTACTACTACTACTACTACTACTACTACTACTACTACTACTACTACTACTACGACTACGACTACGACTACGACTACGACTACGACTACGACGACGACGACGACGACGACGACTACTACTACTACTACTACTACCACGACTACTACTACTACTACTACTACTACTACTACTACTACTACTACTACTACTCCTAGTACCACTGCTACTACTGCTGCCACGTTGACGACTAGTACCAGTACCACTACCACAACGACTACTACTTCTGACCATTACCACTACCACAACGACTACTACTCTAGTCCTCCTCCCCCTCCTCCTGCTACGGAACTTTCGTAAGGATGTGCAGCAGTTGCTCCTCTTTTTGAGCCGACTTCCGCCAAACCTCGAGATACAGCGCCGCAGCTCCACAGCTACAACAGTTAGTGCACTACCCGTGTGATGCTTGTGGATAACCATAGATGTAATTAAATATTGTATGCGAACACCGGCACTGCTTGTTTCAAGCCAACACAACATTCCTGCCCAAGAGCTTGAAGCGAATTCCCAGCGGAACCCCCTTGGAGAACTTCGCACGGAGGCCCTTCGTGTCGCGGGAATCCTTGCCACCGATCGGAATGAAGTCCTTCAGGGCGAGCAGCCAGGACCCCCACAGCTCGAATTCGATGATACTATACTTTGCTCTACCATAGACTACGACTATACCATCCAATACGACGAAAGACTGGACCGGGCCGATAGTTCGACCCACAATATTGAACTTGCCGGAACAGCCTTACTGTACCCGGTCCCGCACCCTCTTCGCCATGCACTCCTGACAGAACTACGAAAAAAGTATAACTTCAAGACGGGGTCGTAACCAAAGTGGCAATTACTCCGCCAGCCCGCGGAGGGTCAACCAGACTTCGAGGCACCCCACTACTCCGCAAGAGTCTGCATGTTAGATAGTACTACTTGTAGCAAAAATACATCCGGCGCAGGCCAGTTTCGGGTCCACAAGTGAAAGTAAATTAAAGACATTAGGGGGGCCTAAGGTTGTATTAGTTTTACGGGCAAGACTACAGTAGTACAAATCAAACCGAACGGACCACAACTGTAGGGTTTAGGGGTTTAGCACTTAAGGTTAAGGGCTTAGGGCCTAGGGCTTTCGGGCTCAAGGTTGAGGGCTTGGGGCTCTCGTATAGGGTTTAGGGCTATACACCCGGAACGGTTGCGTAGGAAACGGTCTTCGTTTCATTATTTGTCTGACTGTCTGGCTCATTACTATACTGTCAACCCGACTCATCCCCTGAGGCCCCGAAACCCCCTCCTAATATGGGAGTTTCCGAAAATTAGGGGTGCCTTACCTAGGGGTCCTTGTAACAAGTATCCTACTATTTAGGGCACTATATTAGGGCCCCTTATTTTCGGAAACTCCCATATGAAAACTGAACCCTCCGAAGTCAGGTTTTGCATTTCCCTCTCGCATTCAGGTTTGATATTAGGGGGAAGGGATTATACTATAATGTGGTCTGCAAGCCTGAGTCGCAACTTCTGCCCAACTCCTCCCACCTTTAAGCTGAACAAAGAAGGGCTCGCAAACCCCGAACGGCTAGGTGCATGGATTTGAAGGCAACGGCAGCTTGCCTTTCTTGAGATCTTCACTTCGAGTCGGGCGAACGGTTAGCGATTTAGCCGAACCCTGGATTCGGCATCTCATGGTCACGCCTTCCAAAAGCAATATAGGGGCCTGAAAAACTGGAAGAGGGTTTGCCGGCCCACCATACTATAATTACACTATAACATGGATCCCCCAAAATAGTATTGGTATTTTTGTACGTCCCTATATATTTACCTGATAGTACCTCTCACTTGAAAACTCAGATGGGTAAGCCCTAAACTCATACTGTACCGCCCACCCCCTAGACTTGCCCTAATTAGTGGAGGGCCAAACTTTGTACTTCACTTCTGTCCTCGCAGCTTGTGCTGAACCTCAGGGTCTCTGCATGCTTGGCACCCTCCTTGCGCGGCCATTCGATCATAAAGGTTGACCTGCACACCAGAACTTCAAGCAAACAAAGGCTCTTACAAGTATTACTGCCGTTGCTCATAAGATACCGATCATGCCTGCGGCTGGACGTCGACAGAGTGTGCAGGATTAGAGCAGTTGCGTTCGGACTCAGGAATCCAGGCTGGAACCCTACAGCCGATCGCCATAGATCTGTGATGGATGCTCAACTCACGCTTCCAAGATCCTGAGCTCCGAAGTCCTTTGCCGGCACTTTCGGTCAGTGGTTCTTACAACCCTGAGATCCCCATTGTCAACTAATGTACTGCAACTCGAGCATCCCATGAAAATGTGAGCCGACCTTGCCACGACCAGGCGGGCATCCCGTTTGAGGCTCGTCCAACCTGCAACTCTCTCAAGGAAGGGCTTTTGGATGACTGACGTTTGCTCCGATGTTGCAAGAGGGTCCTGACTGTAGTAATCCGTTCCAGATATGTGAGGGCTCCGATCGATTGCAGCTTCTGCAGGAGTCCGGGGATTGTAAGTTGCCAGCTGTGGTCACCGGTATATCTGCAATGACAGCATGCATAATGAGCCAAGCGGCCGCTGGTCACACCGAAGAGAGAGAGGTGGGTCCGGATCTTTCGCGTGAAAATCCCCGGAGCACCCTGCAACTCGCAGCTTGTTTGTGAATCTTTCGTGTGTGCGAACGCAGTAACTCCCGACAGAACTGCTTCATCCTGGCTCTGGGAATCACATCTGCCATGCTGCGGTGTTGTCTCTTCTGGCATGGGCACGTTTGTTCGTCCAATTCAGACGTGCCGGAGGATGTTTGGTCGGTTTCCTACAGCGTGATTTCCCAGCAGGGAGCGGGGAGCCTGCACGACCCGGAGAATCCTGCATGGGAAACAAAACATTTGCCCAACTCCATCCAAATCTGCTCGAGACGCAGCAATAAAAAACAAAGTTGTACAGAATACAGGCGGCAAGAGCCCGCTGATCGAGAAACATAGGTGGGTATATGCAGGTAGGCAGGTGCGATATTGGAAGACCTGTTCTATCGATCTATCTGTTCCTCATGCATACATCTTCACAAGAAAGAACGTACCCAGTTCTCACGCACACTCACACACACACATGTGTTTATATCCGGGCACAGGCGCGCACACACACATACAGGTATCCTGCCACATCATATCCAGGTCTTGCGTTATTATAACCCGGAGTTAGCAGATTGGGACCAGAGGCTCGATTGGGACTCCAGTCCGGCCTGCTCCATCTCGCGAGCAAGCAGAACCTGCCCCCATGTTCCCAGGCCACTTGGAACTGTCACAAGACAGCTTGCGGCCAAGGCTGTAGAACTGCAGCCACATTCAGCAGCATGTGATCTCAACGACCGAGGCTTGCGAGGCCTGAGGCTACTTGTAGCTGCTGTAGCATGTCATGAAATCTAGCGGCTGCATATCTTCGCCACAAGATGGAGTACAGCGCATGCGACAAGCGATATGGAATCTTCACAATCTGCAGTGAGCACATGTCCACCTGTGCGCCAGGCCTTCAGCGTCTCGTCGTCCGGTGGCTCCGCATAAAGCGTGACAGACCACGGCGTGCACGAGTTCGGATACCTTGTATTCAAGATCTGTGTTTTTTTTGCCGCCCGCCCAGCCGAACGTGTTTTGGATTGGAGGGATGGCAAAGGAACTCCCTTCTCAACTACGCATTAAACCTACATACTGTAGTTTCCTTTCTCGGCTAGTCATCTAAATCCCATGCGTATACATAATATGTATGTATATATGCAGAGGGAAGAGGTTTGTGTATGTATGTGTACACAGTACACATGCAATGTATAACTATCTATCTATACATATATGTATGTGTGTATGTGTGTATATATATATATATATATGTGTGTGTGTGTGTCTAGCAATACAGTTTATGTGCACAGTTTGGTGCCCCTCTAAGCGAGGCCCAGGAACTGTAGAGCTCGCGCCAACAGATCCTGCATGTCGGTATGAGTCAGTTTGTTCCCTGTTAGAGGCTTTGGACGAGGTTTTATCCGGTTTCACGGCTCTGGTATAACCCTAAACCCGATGACCTTATAAGCCCCTAAGTTTTCCCTCTCACCTAGCTCGGGAGCCCCATAGCTGAAATCCCAAGTCCCAAGCCTATGAACCAAAGCCAGAGAAGTCCTGGCTGTCGGCCCGGAACTCGGCTTCGGTTTGCCGCTGCGCCAAAGCTTGCCTCGAACTTCACCATTGGAGCTTTGGGGGTTAGGTGGGGCATTTGGCTACTTGGAGGTTCATGGGCAGTTATAAGTGGGGTCATAAGTCCCCTAATATGGGTTATGAGAATAGCTACTCTACTTATAAGACTACTTATAAGTACCCATGAACCTCCAAGCAGGATTCAACAGTGTTGCCGGGGAATAGCAGTTCAACCTCCATCGAGCTTGGGGGGGAAGTTTCAGAGTTTCAACTCTTGCGATGACAGACTGGGCGTGTCACCACTCCAGCTGCAGGCCCCGTCACTGTGGTCCGACTTGGAGATATGTGTGTGTAGGGAACGTGTGACAGTGTAAACACATCAATAGCAAGCCCCTGCCTCAGACTTTGTAGCCCTGAGCCGTGAACACAACATAAACAGCTGAGGAGCCTGTCGTACCAGGCCATCACGCTGTCGACACAGCAGTCCAGTTGGGGTGCTTTGGCACATAGCTTCTGCGGACGGGCATCTCGCCACTCTCTCCACTTCCGAATGGCGTACCTGCAGCAAAACAGGGTTCGGCCCAAAACCCAGAGGAAGAATTCAATTCCCATACCAACGTAGTGCTGCATCACTGACGCAGGCAATGCGCCCTAAGTGGGAAAGATAGTCTTCCGCATTGCTCGCTCGACTCCTGATGTGTTGGAAGCTGTGACCCTGGCGACGGTAGCTACGACTACTGCGCCCAGAGCCACCACCACTGACCCACCATCATGGTTATGATTGCGGCGACGATGACTATTTCGATTGCGACTGTTGCCGGGCAAGGCACTCGAACGACTCGCGTTCTGAGCGTTCTAGCCAGAGCCAGAGAAGAGAGCTCTCTGATCGAAGCAGGAGCGCGAAGGAGGGTCATAGCATACACACAGTTGAACAATGACGACGAAATGGTTTCGTGACGCTCAGCTTCAGGACTTAAGTTGCTGCCAGGTCACTTGGTCAGCATGTAGGTCAACCGTGCAGCTGTGATGATCCAGCCGAAACCTGCGGGCTGCAGCATGCAACCCCCCATGCCCATACTCTCAAAGCCTCAAAAGCCTAAACCCCAGAACTCCTAGAAGCCATAACCCCCGTCGATAACTATTCAATATTACCGTTACTCTGACTCAAGCTCTGACTATTGCAATTACTACTACTACTACTACTACTACTACTACTACTACTACTACTACTACTACTACTACTACTACTACTACTACTACTGGCCGTAAACCCCTGCTGAACTCACACCCCCCCAGGGTGGCCTGTGATGATGTCAAGAGCGGCCTCTAGGCAGGCGAGGAAGAGATCAGGGACCAAGGCCAAGATCCTGGCAGACTCATAAGACTAATGCTAACAAGAACAAGAGTACAATCAAAATAGCAATAGTATAATACTAACAATAACACTAACAGTAATAGCGATAGTCACAGTAATAGTAATACTCATGCATCGAGAGCTTCATGTCTTCAGGAGGTAAAGTGTGGGGGCTCACGCTCGGACACGAGCCGGATTAATTTGGCCTTGGGTGCCCAGAATCAAAAGGAGTCACCTAGTTTCGCAACCGCACCGCGACTCCTAGACGTGTGACCCGACGACGCGCAAGGAGACAGCTGCGCCAATGTTCACGAGTCAGGTCATAGTAAAGGCATAACAACTGCCACGCATGCCTTGCAGGCTCTTCCATCCCTGGGCACCTTACCCTGAAATGGAACTGTCCTACGAGGCCAGGAGCCATAAAGACGTACTCAACCTCTGATGCGGGCAGGTTTCTGACTTGTCATGGATCTGGCAGTCTGGGCAGCCAAGTCCAAGACCCGGGTAGTTATACGCTTGGCACAATCCTGCGGGTCGTGCTTCTAGCTCGTACTGTGCATGCCCTTAGTAATTGCTACGATCAAACGGCACGGAAATAAGTCTGTTTCTATCTGCTTCTACTGGTAAAATAAAGCCATGTGCGTGGCTGGAATTGCTATCGCGAAGATACACTTATCACTAAATCGCGTCGTGCCGGCAGCTTGTACTTGGCATTGTGTTGTCAGCATAACATCCGATATCATGGCGAGCACTATAGTCACTAGTTTAGTTCACATTCACCTCAACAAAACCGTCCAAGCCCCTGCACGTACGTCTTACATCGATGCCTGCGAGAATTCTCAAACGAACTAACGCATCTTGAAGGTGCGGCATTAAGGCGCTTTTATTCATACTTCGCAGGTCCGAAAATTCCCAGGGAACCAAAAAAAAACAAGGCTGACGTGTCCTTGAGCTCGGAAGCCACAGCCTTGGTATGGGATCCCCTACCGTGCAGCCTCGATCACACATTGCCTAAGACAGAGCGTGAGGTTAAACTCGTGTATGCTTAACACGGCAGAAGACCGTGTTCGGCTGGCCCTTGAGAAGTGGATACAGCACAAACGGTGCTGCTCTTTCGCGCCTATTCCCTCTTGAACGGCTTGCTGCTCAAATAAATGTCACCTCCCTAGCCCAGCTCCGTTGTCTGCGAAAAAGCAACTCCTTTCAAGCAGTTCGCCGGATTTTCCGGCCGCTTGTGAATCGCTGCACTGCAGCTTTGCTCAAGAGAACCTACTGTAATCATTTGTCGCTCAGGGTCCCTGAATGAGGCCTTTTTCCTCTCTTTGATGTTCGTCGAATGGCTAGAGCTCCTTTCCAGCCCTTTACTGCTTTCAAGCGGATTGGTTCTCCTCGGTTCATGGATCGACAGTTTCGAAATTGCCATTGTTGCTTTGCATGGTCTGTTCCTCGCTCACAAATTCTCTTGGCCCGTTCGAGCGTCTCGCCCATCCTTCTCAAAATACGATGATTCTTTCCAACCGCTCGCTCCTCTTACTAGGTGTGGATGCTGTGTTTCGCAAGGTCTGCTCAAGTTCTGTTGCACGATTATCACGGCTCACACTGCTCCTGAAATCCTCCCTGGACCCTTTCGACCCGTGCGCTCCACCTTCTCCACTTCTCTAGTCCATTTCAATGTGGTGTCGCCCCTTTATTGCCCCTTTATGAGATTTCGCGATCATAGGGAACCCTAATATAATAATACCCTGAATAGTAGGATCCCTATTGTGAGGACCCCAGCATAAGGCACCGCTAGTTTTCGGAAACTTCCATATCATCCCCTGGGAGAGGTCGGGTCTGCCCCTCTTCTGATAAATTATATGCAAGCCGTTTCGAGCGGTTGCTCCTGTGCCTCCAACAGATTAATGAATCCCATTCAAGCAGCCGACTCCTCTGTCTCTACTTTCCAATCACTTTCCAACGCTTGCTCCTCCTGTCGCAGTCGAAATCCCGGATCCTCTTTCTGAGTCATCTTACATAACAATCCGTTTCAAGTGCTTTCACCCAAATTCTTCAAGCACCCTCACAATCACAACTTGAATCTCGACGCGTTCAGCGTCTCGCTGGAAGTCAGATCTGCCAGTGCCTGCGGTCAGGCTGTGTATAAACAGGGTCGAAGTCTGGTGTGGCTATTAGTTGCAACCCACTTGAAACCACCATTTCCTCCGGGTTTCCTTTGCCTCAGCGAAACTGGTAGCATCCACCCATCTCGAGCCTCATCTTTGAGGACAAGAGCGCGAGTCTTTAGCTCCTGTCCGCGGATGGGCTTCTATACTGGAGCCTGAAGCCACCACATGCAGACTGTTCGGTATCTTCGAGATTGGTGGTTTGAAAGCTCACTGTGCCTATCATCAGGTATGTCTTTGCGATCTTTTGTGCCACCATAGGGGTCGCACGAGAACACCTGGCCAACATCGAGCTTCACAAACAAAAAGTGTCAACGCAACGACCACGAACGCAACCATGCAATCGCGATGGAGAGCAAACGGGCAGGTCGCTTGGCCGTCGGCTTCCAGGGGCAAAGCTTCCAGAGACCAACCAGGTGTGATGACAACCAAAGGGATAATGTTATCGTTGTTCCAAATGCAGTGAACACCTACAGTGTCTATGAGCTCCATGTAGCCAAAACAGCGCACAAACACTGCTCGCTCTGGGAGATCACCCACCTTGAAGGCCCTCATCCAAAACAGAGTCGGACATCACTGCAGACATAGCCTTGAAGTTGCTTCATGTTACGTCTCCCGGGCCGATAGATCTTGAACAATCCCCGAAATTTCCCTCCCTAGATGCGGCCATCTTCCTCTGCATCGGCAGCCATGGCTTCTGCGTCCTGGGGGACTGCATGGCACTGCAAACAATTACCGTGTATGTGAAATAAAGAGCATTAAAGAGCTATATATATAGAGAGAGAGAGAGAGAGAGAGAGAGAGAGAGAGAGAGAGAGAGAGAGAGAGAGAGAAAGGGATAGAAAGAAAGAGGAGTTTGGGAGCTACCAGTAAGGTGTAAATTTCGTGCTGTCTACCACTAGCCTGAGCCAAAACAAACCTGCATGCCATTCCATCTTGAAATAGGCCTTCAAGATCACATAACATTATTCTCTAAACCCTACACCCTGGTGCAGGAGTCGTTGTAGCACACCAAAACCTTCCATCTTGGACCCCAAGCCCACACTCAGCGCTCCCTATATTGCATTTCTAACGATAACTTTAGGTAGTCTTTTCTCCATGTTTTGCCTGTCTCCCTCTGTGTCCCTGTCAAGCATAGCTTCAAAAACCTTTCAAGGGATGACCTGACATCACTGATTAGAATCACCGGCAGATTGTAAGACTCTGTTATCCCCGTACCTCAACACGGTTCTATGAGTAATGCTATCAGCTATCACTCATAAGCCTAAACTCCCTGAAGGCCCTAGATCTGTACTGCCCCAAGCCTGAGCCCTAAACATTTAGGCATCTGGGCTCCTGCGCCATACGCTGTGCCTCTTCCGAGTGCACCTGCACATTCTGCTGGAGCTTGGGGCTCAATTCGGAGTTTGGGGTTCGGCTTATTATGGTCGCTTAGCATGCGGGTTCGGAGTAGCTGCAGGACTCTACTAAATGACTCTTTTGACCGGGTCGTAGTGTCATTATCATCTTCATCCTCTCAAGCACGGGATTCGGGAGATTCATGCTATACGAGCTTGAACAGGTGGACTGCTGGCAGGTCTGGGTGCTGTCTGCAGCGAACAGTGGGCTGATCAAGCTTCGGATAGTGGTTAGCCAGAAAATGCATCTTTCCTCACACACGCTTCGTGGTACGTGGCTCAAGGTGAGACACATCCAAGATTTCTCGATGTGCAATAGGAACATTCCGAACATCTCGAAAATATTCACCGCTGGGGTAGAGGACAGAGGGAAGCGCCGAAATTCGCGTCGGTCCAAGGCCTGTACCTTCAAACTTTAACCTCTGTGGGCTTGTACCCCAACTTGTGCATCATACCGAAGAGACCTGCCTCTGCGCTGCAGGACACCGAAAATCTACGAAAAATGAACCGAACGCGAATCCCAGAAGCTCTGCCTGCATCTCTTCGCCGAGTGCCTCACCACGTTCCGCAATGGACTCGGCGGCGCAGAGATTGGGTCTTAAGGCTCAGGGCGTCCTGCCTTGTTTTGGGTTTGTGTCTGTCCCGGAGATTCCACAGGGCTGACTTTCTCAGATCAAGCGTCAAGCGAGCCCAAAAGGCATCAAGAACATCCCAGCAGCCTGCAGCCAGCACGAATGATTGTCGGATGACGAACAAAGCCCGGCAACGTGCACCCTGCTTGAATTTGAAAACGACCTCACCAATATTCCCTTACGGTAGACTCCCGGAACTCACTCGATGAGGAAGCAACCAAACTGTGCCCCCAAAGACAGTACTTGAAGAGCAGTGGCTTCTGCTTCCGCCCGGTGCGCATCCATTTCATTGGCCAGGCGGTTTATCCTTGAACGGCGAGGGGAAGCTTTCCACCAGACGCCCTTGAGTTGAAATCCAAGTGTCTGGACGCATGCAGTGCTCCATTGGGCCAGGAGAAGCGGTTTTTGTGTGCAACGGGCACAGGGTTTGAATGTCGCGCGCAGTGCCTTTGGGGCGAGCCCTCAGATGCTTTGGACTTGTTGTGTTCGATCAAGCGCATTACAATCTCGCTGATGTGTCTGGGGATCTGGATGTCATCATGCTTACCTTCAGGGTGCGCGATTTTTTGTCACTCGCACTCGACGATTAAACTAATTATTGAGGAATTGCAACGAAATTTAAGTTAGGATTTTCTCCTCAACCCTGGAAAACACCACAGCATCAGTACCCTCTCCAAACCCTGCACCGTGTGCAAAGCATGCGAAGTCCTCTCCATTCCCGGAACACTGCTTCCTGGAGATCCGAGCATCTCTTGCGGATCACATTGGCTCGGTTGTAGAGGCGTCGGAGGCTGCTGGCATTTCTGGATCTCCATCTGCCACAAGCAGCTGCTGCTTGATGCTCGTAACAGAAGCTCGTCGTGCTTACGGACATGGCGGCAGTCAACATCGTAAACCCTGCCCAAGTCAGCAACTCCAAAACAACTCTACACTGAACTCTTTCCAACCTGAGGCCCTGATTGCAATTCCGCGAGACACCTCCATGGCCTGCGACGTCTGTTGCATGTCGGCCTCGGTCGACTGGTTAGCAGTTTCGGAGCACTTCACGAAGGTTATGGGCACAGTGCTATTTTGCAGTGTTTGCCTCGCTCGCTGTACTACTTCTGACCACTGCCCTCTTAAACATCGTGTGTGCGCCGTGCTCTGCTCAGTGCCCGCTGTTGAACAGGCTAGCGAATGGACGTTGCACTTGCTTCTCCTGCTCGATGTAAACTATCCACCCTACGTCGTGAATTCCACCAAGCACTTGCGCGCATGTCGTCTACCTGCCTTTTCATACGAAGGCTACCTACAGCATATATGAATAATCTGAACCACTTGGATAGACCGCTCAAGCAAAGGCACATAGCTCCTCTGAACCTTATGAACATGATCGGCTGGCCTCTCATACCCATCTTCTTCCAACATTCTTCATAGCAAGTCAGTGTGACTGTATGTGAGGGAAATAGCATCATCCAACTCACCTTGCCAACTTGTCACTCTGAACCCAAAACACCACCAAACCCGAACCCTGATGCAGGACCCCTCGTTAGGGATTACGCTGTGGGCCCGGGCCTGCAGCTGCGCACTGTCTGCTTGAATGGCCTGGGCCTCGGCCATACTACCTCGGAGTCCGAAGCCGGGGTCTCTCGTTGGGCTCCAGGGCGCAACTCGGACTCTGCCAGACGAGGTCTCTCGATTCGCATCGGATGATGACTGAGGTTCAAGCTGCGGCATCCCAATCCAGGGTTTCAGCACTCACACTCGGACGAACCACAGCGAGGATCCCAGTACCGTCGAAAGCACATTGGCTCCTCCCAACACATAAGGGGTTGAGGGTTCGGCGCTCACACTCGGACAAACCAGGCGAAGCATATGAGTTCGAGTCTGCAGAGTGAAACGACACTAAGAGGCCTCATCATGACATCTCAGCAACAAAGGATAACAACATTTAAAATAACTGTACCGGTCTGCGAAGCCTCTCCTTGGAATCTCTCTGTTGAAAGCATTCGAAGAAAACGGATTCCAAGGCGGTGGACCCGGCAGATCACTCAGGGTTGGGGTATAGGGATCTAGCCCTACAATATTCAGTAGGTACATATGAAAGGGAAGAGCCGGGTCGACTCGGGCATTGTGATCTGTTGTGAGGATCAAGCATTGTATGATCCCCTCGGTCAGCTTATTACCGACGCTACAAGCACCTAATTCATACACCATACAGGAGTGAAACTGTGGAGTACGTGGAGTGACCTACATGTTATTTCACTACTTGCCAAGCTACCCCAAACTTTATTTGAAGAAAGGGTTTTCATGTCCATGCCCACTAGTGATAAGTAAAGATGACTTCAGTATCATGCCCCGGCGCTTGGTCCAATGAATTCCAGCATGCACCCCTCAGTTGGTGAATTATGCTCACTGGGGATGCTTAGACATGGTTGAATGTGACGCGAACATCACACTCAATCACATCTAATCACCTCTCGACAGAGTATATCATGTGTTCAGCTCGGTCTCACGTCTGCTAGAGCAGCCAGACTCGGCGCTAATAACAGAGGAACATGCAGGGATTGGTGAACTTGTACCATAAATTCAAGAGCCCTGCATTCAATCTCCTGCAGTCATGCAATGTAGACCAGCGGGCCTGTCTCATCGGTGGCCATCTGGTTGGGCGTGGCACCCCATATATTGTATCTCTGGCCTGGCTGTTTGCCATCATGCAGTAAATTCCAGAAAAGGCAATGGCCTGTGGTATATGGAAGGCGGCTGTCATGCAGCCATTCGTGGGGAATCACCACTAGCAATATCCGACCGTGCCAGCTTACTCGCTCAGATCCCTGCCGCATGCAGTAAATTCCAGAAAAAGCCAGCAGGGCTGCGCTCGTAGCGGGAACCCACAGGTAGAGCTTATGGTCAGTCATTGCGTCCATCCACATGGTATGGAGAACATGCAGATTCATATATTCAGACTCTTCATCATGGGGCAGCGGAGGCCATGCAGATGCAGTTGTAAATTCCATGCATTCCATCATAGGCAACAGGCATGCAGTGTGTGCCGTCGGGCACGCCAGGCCAGCAGAGTTCCATGTTTCAGCGCGGGCGCGGGTTAGTGGTTTCTTAAGGAAAACCAGTGTAGTACATAAAGAGTCCATGCGAAGTGTGTGCAACATAGGGATGACTTAAGGCTAGCCACCGGCAACTAAAAGGAAAGGGATAAAACATGCTAAAGTGGGGGTTTAATGGGGATAGGGGCACAGTGGACTTGTAGTACAAAGAAGACAGCAAAGTATAAGAGTTACAATAGAAAACAGAACTCCAGGGACCTCAAAGAAAGACCCCACACAGACCAGGCTATCCTTGGAGCGTATCTTGCACACACTCCTGCCTTCTGTTAAGTATGGATTATGCCCCCACGACGGCATCCATGGGCCAGGGTAATGTGGCTTGGGAGTCAGAGGTGTAGGAGTCTACTTGGGTGGGCCGGGGGCGCTTATCCGGGTTCAGAGTGGTAACAGAGTTTAAACCATCTGAGTGTGTTGTAGGGGGTGGTTCAGCAGTTCTTGTATTGTTTGCTAGATCTTCTTCGCTGTCGCTAAGTACCAAGGTTACTGGAAGACCCTGCTTGAGTTTTCCCACTCCCCATACTTTACGTGATGTGTTTCTTGGGAAATCACATAGAGTAGTTTGTCTAAGTTGTCCAGGGCCCATTAGTACTCTAGAGTAGAAATCAACCTCTAAGCTATCCGGTGTAACAAAGCCTAGGGAGTTGAGGGCACCATCGAGTTCCTTAGTAATACTAATGGATCCCATGACTGTAAAGGCGACGGCTACCACTCGTCGGTTACACCAGTCCTCAGTGGCATGAAGGAGCCTCTTGCCTGTGAAGATGAGCGGGGCCCCACAATCAAAACTATGCAAGGAGCCCTGAAGGATTCCTCCCATATAGTCTTTATGTACAGTGCCTGAAGGAGATTCAACCCAAATTTCCCCCCCTGTGAAGTCACTTAAGGCAATAACCGCTTGTGGATAGTGAGAATTCCGAAGATCCCTGTGCAACCCTTTACCCGCAGAATCCCTAATAGTGATAGTTGAGAACTTATGGTGAGGGGTAACCAGGTGGAAAAGGCTACTAAGTTGACAGGCTAGATATTGTAGAGGGGCTGTTGCAACACAGAGGCGTGTTAGGTCCCGAGGATTCAGTCCTATGGCGAGCGTGTGCCCCGAGCCTTCCGCTAGCTTGTATTTTGCAGGGGCATCGTCAAATGCCTTAAGGATCTGCCTCTTCAGTTCAGAGACCTGTTGGGTAGGATCGGGCATGCAGGGCGTGGGTTCTGGGTTGGCTTTACCAAGAAGGGCCATCTGAGCCACACTTTCACATTTCAGGCGGAATGCTCCAACTAGTTTGTGTACCAACATGCCGGGTATGCAGCCGTTGTGAGGAAGATGTATGGTCCGAGGAGGGGGCAGGTTCAGGGTTCGGAGTAGGGGGCATAAACGACCTAGCAACTATTACAGAGGTTTCATATACTTGTCGTTCCATCCAGACTACCCAGTCATGTACTTCCTCTCTCGTATGGGTGTGTACATTATCCGCTACAGGGTCCGCAGAACTGTCTAGCCAGTAAGGGGCGCATTCCATAATGGCATCATGAACAACTACAATACCATCTAAAGGGTATGTATTACGCTTCTGTGCAAACCTAGAGTACAGAGAATCCGCAGCTACCCTAGCCACTCCCGCAGGCATACTCTGCAGTTCACGTCTGAGTCTTTGTTTTAGTTCAACCTGCTCAAGGGGCATTGCTTCCAGTTCTACGCATGCGCAAGAAGCTTGAGGCTAAAGGGGTCTCTGTGGATGCATCAGACGAAAGTGTGTTTCCGGGGAGAGCGGTTGTTCATTAATGGGGTCTTCGGGGTTGACAAAACATACCCTTTCACTCCGAAGCCGTGGTTCTCCTGTAGGCCACAGATAAGGAAGATTCCAGTTGGTATAGGTACCAGAGTAGCAGTCTAGTGTGTGGTAAACACGCATGGATACACGTTCAGCCCAAAGAAATATGCGATTATTGTCGTGAATACTAATAGTTTCTGGTCTATCCTGTTCATGCGCGGCAAGTGTGCTAGAGATGACATCCATGAGAGTAGCCCAGTATGACCAAAGGACAGACCCACCGTGCTGTAAAGGAATCATGCATCGCATTTTTCTGAATCGAACCAGGAGCCTTGAAGCAGCAACATAACAAAGATCCGGAGGGTATTGCAGCAACATGTTTTGGACTTCGAGGCCCCAAATACACTCCCTACTGAGCTCCCAAGGTGTAAGAACATCCAAGCGGGGAAGGAGGTACATGGTTCGAGATGATGAACTGTTAACATTGCTCGAGCCCGATACCACAGGTGGACTGAAGGCCTTGTGAGTACAGCAGAAACAGACGGTGCGCTCTTTCATGCTTTGAGGTCACACTGCGCCATGCATGTATGGATTCCTTGCATTTGATGATGCATACAAATTCGAACATCCTAAATTCAAGACATGCATATCTGGCATAGAGGATGGGACGAAAATTAAAGGGAGGGGGAGGGAAGTAGTGCCTAGTAATATTGCCGATTGTGAGGTCTGGGGCCCTGGCCTCGGGGTCTATGAGCAAGCCTAAGGGTGAAGGGATACGGACACTGCGGGTCAATGGCCTCTTCTACAATATTGGCGAGATCGCAGGCTAATAAAAAGGATTCATCCAGAGAATAAAATAAGCACTGCAGGATGAAATCCTGAGAATCGAGTCTATGGCGAATCAAAGAACATAACCTGTGAACCTCTGGTATGGCATCAGAAAGATCAGCCTGCAGATCAATAACTTCATTGGTGAAGTCATCATGCAAATGAATTGCCTCCGATGCTATATTATGAAGGTCTTTCATTTCGGTGCTCAGCTGAAGGATGGACCTCCGGATCTGGTCCACTTCGTACTCCATTTTCCGCAGGCGCGTATCAATCGCTGGCAGCAGTGTGTGGGTACGCATTGTCCCAAGGAGGGCTTGTACGTGCAAATCTAGAACCGGCAGTTTATCAAGCTCTTGCAGGCGGAGCTGCATGGCCGACAGCATAGCAAGTTCCGATTCTTGCAGGTGCAGGAGGCGTTGTAGCTGATGAAGCACAGGTTGTATGTGTCTATCATAAACAAGGCGCAGTCCCCACGTCAGTGCCCACGCGGCCCCCAAAAAGGGTAAGAGCAGTATCGGGTTGCGTACAACGGTGTCCCACATGGCTGTGCATATACATGAAGAGTACACTAAACTGATGAGCCAGGGCTACATCGTGACTCGTATTGTGAACCTTGGTTCGCAAACAAAAGCATGTGAGGGTCAATTGTAGGGGGGAAACATCGATTATGAAACAGCTACCACATTTCAGGTCTGCGGGCGGAGCCCATGAAGTGGCGCACGACGAGTCATTGCACTCTATTTTTTTCACAGGCGTTCAGATCGAGGCACCGTATTTAGGCACCGCGTGCAAACTGCAGAGACAGGCATGTCAGGGAATTGTACATGGATTCGTGAATTCTAAATTCATAAATTCAGTGTGCATGTGACTTGGTTCAAGAAGTATCCCGCTACTCCAGATGATAAA